TTTCAAATATGGCCGTCAAGTAAAATGACTTGCCTAAAGGGACTTTCCACTCATCCTGTGATCATCTGTGGAAGCATTGTCTGTAAGTTTGTTATCTGTTTGTATTTATATTTTATCTCAGATATTAATGTTTTGTACATAGATAACTATAGGTCATTGTATCTACTGTATATCATTTTACATAGCTTCACTCTGTTTCAACATACTCTATGGAGCATGGAATAAGGCAGCATTCCCCCTGAATCACACGTGTTGGAAAGGGATTAATTTATGAAATTAATGCCATTAATCAATCAATGTACTATAACATGTAAAATGGGATCAAGAAAGAAGCATTCAAAAAGCAACTCATGTAAACATCTTAATCATATTTTTTTCTTATTCAGATTAAGGCAAATAACTAGATTACTGATGTCAATGTAAATGTAGTCCTGCCAACTGTGTTTAAGTCCTAGCACTTTCTCAAGCCAACATCAAAGTTCACCAACAAACTTTAGCTTCTAGTTTATAGTGTATAAAGACTTTGAATTATTAATTAATAACTAAAGGGATAGTTCACCCAAAAATGAAAATCCTGTCATCATTTATCTGTCATCACCTTTTACTTCTTCCAAACCTATTTGACGTTTTACTTTTGTTGAACACGAAGATATTCTGAAGAGAGCTGGATACCTGTAACCATTGACTTACATAGGGCCCTTATCAAACACCCGGCGCAGTGTGGCGCAAGGCGCGGCGCAGTAGTCTTTTGGTAGTTTCAGCTTGGCGCAAGAGTCGTTTTGAGGCGTTGCGCTACGCTGTTTAAATAGCAAATGCATTAGCGCTCATTTGTGCGCCCATAGGCGTTCTGGTCTAAAAAGGAAGGCGTTCTGAGGCGGACCGCTGGCGCGTTGCTATTTTGAGAAACTATAATAGATTTTTCATTAGACCAAAACTAACCCGGTCTAAACTCCAGCGCAGAGTTGCGCCTCGTTTACGCACTACTTAATACGCACAAGAGAGCAATAGGCAAATATCTTTACATATAAAAAAAATAATGTTAAGGATATATATAGGAATAAGAATAGATTTAGGATATAAATATAAAGGATTAAAATATTACAAAACATATTATTTTCTAGCCTACATAAATATGAAAAATCACTGCTTTTATGTCTTCATCTCGGGAGGCTTTTTCAGTTCATTCATAACAATTTGCTTTTGTATAATGTTATTATTATTAGCAGTATTATTTAATATATCCATATTTATATTTGTTTTATTAAAAACAAGCTTAGATTTGCCCACCTGTCAGGTTTTAGACCATATGGGGCACAGCATGTGTTTTAGGATATAACTCAGGTTTTTGAGCACATTTTGTTATTATTATTCATTTATTCGTTTGCTGGAAATTAGAACTGAATTTAGAAATAGTTTTGAAATGAATATTTGTGCTTAACAAACAAAAGTATTTATTTATAGACTAATTGATGTCTGTGCGTAAAGATTTCTTTATCCAAGAGCGAAAGTGAAAGTGATCCATTATCTCTCATTCTCACGCAGTAGATGCTCTGTTTAACAGTTTTCTGTTAAAAAACTGTTGACTGTTAACTGTTTGCTTGTGAAATGCTCATTTTTTCCACTAAGACTTACTTTGTGTCCTGTAAATAGCGAATGCGCTCTTGGCGCGACGCAGCTGGGTCTTAAAGGGAATGGGAGATGAGACTCTAATTGGTTTATTCTCAAAACACACCTATAACTCAATAAGAAAATAAACTCAAACCTTTTAGAACATGCAGAACAGATTTCCCGTCCTTAAATTAGCAAAAACGCATCCTGGCAAGCCCTGAAAGCGTTTGCGCCCTGCATTTTGCGCTCTGCGCATGGACCGTCAAAATAGAGCCCAATAGTGTTTGTTTTTCACATTATGGAAGTCAATGATTACAGGTTTTCAGCATTCTTCAAAAATCTCTTTTCGTGTTTAACAAAAGAAAGAAACTCATAAAGGTTTGGAACCACACAAGGGTGCGTAAATGTGCATTTTTGAGTTATCTATCCCTTTTAGGTAAGACAAACTCACCACTTTGCATTCTGCAGTTATCAAGCTGTAGTTTCTTGTGTTCTGAAGAAAATTAGGAAAAAGAAAAGAGAAAACAGAATTCAGATGACAAAAACATTGAATTTAAAACATAATTTTAGTCTGAGGAACAATAACTGCAAACCACAAGATATGCACAAACATATGTAGATACACTGTTAAATCAGTATTTTAAAAGTTAAAATAAACATTTGATAAATCAATAACCCAATAAATAAAAATTATCCTGTATATTCTTTTTTTCATTCATTCTTTATTTGATTGTTTTAAACAATTCAGAATAAAGATGAGAAAACAGCATTACATTTATTAACTTTACGACAGACAAAAAAAAAAAAATTAAAATTAAAATTTCTTAAAATTAAATTACTTAAAATTAAATTACTAAAAAATGTTTGATTTAACATTCATTCATTCATTTTCTTGTCGGCTTAGTCCCTTTTTTTAATCCGGGGTCGCCACAGCGGAATGAACAACTTATCCAGCAAGTTTTTGCGCAGCGGATGCCCTTCCAGCCGCAACCCATCTTTGGGAAAATGGCGGCAGGACAGGTGTGTTTATTTCATAAAAAAAAAATCCATAACTAATTAATTAAATGAATGAGTAAATTCAACAACCCTTGTATATATTTATAGTTCTTTGGACAAAGACATTTTCCTCTGCAGCAGCTGTGCATGCATCCATCACAAGCATCATGCTTTACAGATCAGGGGCCTCATGTACGAAGACTTGCGTGGAAATCTTACTAAAACATTGCGTACGCACAAAGCTGTAAATGTGCGTACGCAGAAAAAAATTCAGATGTATGAAACACTGCGTACGCCAAATCTCACGCATATTCTTTTGTACATCTGAATGAACGTGAAACTGAGCGCAACATGCACGAGCACAAAACCCCTCCCTGCCTCCTCCCCCGTATGAATATGCTAATGACTATGCTAATAGCAAAACCCAACGAAAAAGTAATGGAAAAAGCAAGCAAAAAGAGAATCTTTGAACAGAATGTGAATTGGAGGTGCTGCTTTCGGAGGCAGACCGGAGAAAAGCGGTGTTATTTGCAAGTTTGTTCTCCGGAATTAACAACAAAAGAAAAAAATAGAGTGGGAGAGTTTAGCTGATGCGGTTAACACAGTTGGGTCTGAACATCGCACCGAGTGCATTAAAAATAGAAATAGTGTGGTTTATGTCTGTAAAATGTTGCAGTACTCTTAGCAGTCTCAGTGGCGCACCTTGTAAGACGCATGTGATCATAAATAGTTTCGTTCGAGCATGAACTCGGCTTGAATCCAGCGTCTGATGAACTCTTTCTTGTTTTTTCCCCCGCTACATATCAGATTTTGCCAACTATTTATCACGAGAAAGACAAGTAGGAATCATCAATAAGTTCATATCAATAAGCATCATATTTTATTTGCACATTTATTGAATGGAAATGTTTCTGATTCACGCATGCAAATTCATCTTCAGATAGTGTCTTTATAGCAATGTGCGTGCAGTAGATCGCTCAGATTACATTGGGAAAACAGGCGACTGCTGCAAATTGTGCTTTAATGTTTAGCTGGTCAAATGTATGGTATGGAAACCTTATATACCTGTTAGATGAACCCGTCTCATACAGCTGCCATTGCAAGGCTCAGACACTTTGTAGAGAGGAATTTAACACAACTGCCTCTAGGAGTCGCCAATGGAAATAAAACAGACACGCACAAAAAATGTGCGTACGCCTGCCAGAAAGCTGCCGTGAACCTGCGCACATTCCCACGTTCAGTTCATTGTTAGTAAATCCAAACGTGAGCCATTCTGAGCGTGAAACCTGGCGTACGCAAAGTTTTTGTGCGTACGCAGCGTTGATACATGAGGCCCCAGGTATTTTGATTGTGAGGTTTTTATAACAACCTCTTACACACACTCACAGAAACCTTCTGGAGTTTTTTTTTATAAAAAACAAAACAAAAAGCAAACTATGATTTTAAGCCTTTTGGTTTACTATGACACTGAATATGTCTTCAAACAGCATGTTTAATTAGAAATCTCCATGGCATAGACATCTATTCAGGTTTCTGTGCACCATTATTTAAAACTGTCAAAAAAAAAAAAACAATCATTTGTGATTTGGTAAAAATAGTTGTTTATAGAACAAAATGATTTTAAAAATCTATCCCCAGGTTGCCTCATTTACATAAAAATACAATAATTTTACCTTTGTATTTATAAACAGCAACAGCGATCAGTATTCCAGCAATCACACTGAGCACAACTGAGGCTGAAATCATAAACACTGATGTCCTCCAGTGAAGATACATATTACCTGCAAAACAAAACACTGATTAAGCAAAGAATAAGTATAATGTGTTTTGCTGAAATTATATTTATATGACATGCTCAATAGGGTGAAGCAGTGGCGCAGTAGGTAGTGCTGTCGCCTCAAAGCAAGAAGGTTGCTGGTTCGAACCTTGGCATTTCTGTGTGGAGTTTGCATGTTCTCCCTGTGTTCGCGTGGGTCTCCTCTGGGTGCTCTGGTTTCCCCCACAGTCCAAAGACATGCGGTACAGGTGAATTGGGTAGGCTAAAGTGTTTGTGTGTGTGTGTGTGTGTGTGTGTGTGTGTGTGTGTGTGTGTGTGTGTGTGTGTGTGTGTGTGTGTGTGTGTGTGTGTGTGTGTGTGTGTGTGTGTGTCCGTGTGTGTCCCAGGGATGGGTTGGGGCTGGAAGCCCATTCGCTGCATTAAAAATGTGCTGGATAAGTTAGTGGTTCATTCCACTGTGGCGACCCTGGATTAATAAAGGGACTGAGCTGACAAAAAAATGAATGAATGAATAATATGCTCAATATAATTACGACGATTACATACACAGTATAATGTTGATGCAAAAATCTAAGCCTTTTATTATTTTAAATAATGGAATGGACAAATAAACACAGAGTTACTCACTTGTAGAGCTGATCAGTGTCTCCAGCATGTGGTGTCTCACTTTGACTCTGCAGTGAATCTTGCTGTTTCTCTGATGAACAGTGACGGTGTGTTTCACACTGAATCTGTCTGTGTTTCTGTGTTTCTCTGTAGTTTCTGAACTCAGTCTGACTCCTTCACTGTCCAGCCACTCAAGATCAGGTTCAGGATGCCAACCTTCAGATTCACACTGTAGACGAAGCCCTCCTAAATGATCAAATCCATCTACTGTGATCATTGGAGGACTTCCTACAGCTACAGAACAACAGAAAACATACATGGAGCAAATTAAACAATGTCATGATCATACACTATGCATCATACTTAAAATTTTCTATAGCGTGGGTTTCCTCACCTTCAACTTTAAAATTAATCGTGGCATCATCAGACACTGAGTTGGACTGAATAAAACACTTATAGCGTCCTTCATCAGACACTTTCACTGCTGATAGTCTGAGTGATGCGTTTCCTGTTTGTAGTTGTTGATGATTGAGTTCAGTTCTCCCTCTGTAGGACTGAATCTGCTCTGTGTTTCTGTCTTCATGATCCTCATAGAGATGAACTACTGAGTATTTCTGATCAAGTCTAAACCACTCGACTCTCATGTCCACAACACTGATGTTGGGTTTGACTGAACAGGGCAGAGTCACATCTTCACCAGCAAATGCAAATACAGGACCTGCAGATCCCAACACTTCATACCGCTCTGCTACAAGAGAAAGAGAGCATGGATGTAAAAACAAAAAACAAAATGTCTTTTAAAATGCCAGCCTACAATGCAAGTCAATTACTGTTTTTTCCCCACAACATTCTTAAGTATATCATCAGAAGAAAAACTCTGTTTAGATACTTCATTAAGTGTGAGAAAATGGTGAGGAAACTTTACAGTTCACATTTTTGGGTGAATTCTGCCTTAAAGACAAGTAAACATAGTAAAGTCCACAAGTGTGGAAATGAGACTAGTGTTTCTGGGATTTCAGTGTAAAAGCAGAGGCTGTCCTTCACAAATCAGCTTGCACTCATTAATCTTGAGCTGTGTAAAAATGCCATCTGCATTGAGTTGTATTAATAAAGCTGATCAGCTGGACAACAGCAATTTAGCCTATAGAGCACACACTCCAGCTCTTTATATGTGGATGTGAATAATTACCTGATACTGAATCTGTAATTCCACCTAAAATGAGCAGAATTAAACAAACAGACTTCATCTCCAAAAACACTGAAAGAAAAAATATAACAAAATATGAAAATAAAACCTTTAAATAAATAACTTACAGAATGATGCAATTAGATAAAGTGTTTTGTCACTTAATCTTCTATCCTAACACTTAAAGGACAAAATATACACATTTTTACATTCTAGTTTACAATTAAAAGGGAAGTACCTGAGCATGTGTATTGATTAATATTTGACAAGAAAATTGTGCAACGAATACCAATGTGCTGTAATGATATAGGGTAAACAAAGATTGCAAATTTGTCCAGTTCATTTAATAAGATTTCAGAAGGAATTGTTTAAGCATTTAATTATTTACCCATACTCATTTTATATGCATTTTTGTACTACAGAAGCGAAAATGAAAAACCAATGATTATTATTTAAGATTTTAGTTAAAAAATAAATACAATACGTATAATTCAGATCAGTTTGTATAAGCAAGAGATGCCCAAACTAGAACCAGCAGGCCAAAGGTGGCTCGTTGGCCCACTATCCCATCTGAGACATGAGTATGAATGATGTGCAGGGTTGGGGGGGAATGATTTGAACAGAGATTGTAATTTCTAGTTTAAAATAGTCTTTGTTTGTTTGTTTGTTTGTTTGTTTGTTTTATTACTGAGCTACAAACAAAGCCAACGAACATGAAAAGATTCATTTAAATGTTAATTGTAAATACGTAAATAAATACTTTAAAATTGTAAATACTGTCACTCAAAAGATAAAAGACAAGACATCTGCAAGCAAATCAAGGCAAAATCAGGTGCAGCTTGACTAGCGTAACTCATTCTGTTATAAATGAGATTGTTTTACTGTAATAAGTTCATTATAAACACAATAAAAACATTTATGTTGCATTAGTTAATACAGCAATGTTTTCTGGTTTTTATTAAATAGTTTGTAACAGGCTGGATTGGCTAATCGGGAGGACCGGGAGAATTCCCAGTGGGCCGTTCCGTTTTTTGGCCGCGAGGGCCGGTGTCCCTAGCTCCAGAATCTGTTGCTCTCAGCAGTCACACTTTTAAAATGTATTTATTTATTTGACAACAGTCTTTTTATTCATGATTTTATGTATACAGTTGCTGTGGTCCAGTGGTTGGCACGTTAAATTACGACGCTGTCGACCGGGGTTTGATCCTCGTCCGAGTATGTTTTTTTTTTTTTTTTTTCATTTTTATTGTTGACATATAATACTGTTAGGGTTGTTGAACATTTGAAGTTTTAAAGAAGCTGTTTTCTCAAAAAAGATGTGATATTGTAATTAGAAACTGAATTGGAAATGACCTTATTTTAATATAGTCAGTCGTAAACTGAGGTGGGCAGGTCTGAGGGTTGAAACTCCAGGGCTGAAAAGGAGTCCCACTCCGGCCCTGCTTTGTAAATAAATTAGGAAGTACCCAAGGAAGCTATTAACCTTCGGCCCATTAGCGTCAATCTAGTTTGCTTTTTGGCCCTTTATAAGAAAAAGTTGGGCATCCCTGGTATAAACAAAAGGTTACAATTACAAAATACAACTCTTAGCGTTAGCGTCATTGTGATGAGATAAATAAAGTACAGATACATAAACAAATACATAATATAGAACTATAAACAAGTGGATGATATATTTCCTTTAAAATAACTTTAAATTAGCTCAATTTATGAAATATAAGGAGTAAAGATTGCACAATTTTGTTTTGGGGTGTAGTAAAAGCAAGTGTTTCCCCAGAAAAAATATACTCCGATAAAGTACAGAAGCTTAAAAAAATGTAGGCGTATATTAACACTTCCGTATGGAAAAAAAATATCCTACCTTTGCTGTTGTTCACTGCCTAAAACTCTCACTGGATAACCAGTAAATGATGGACGTACCTTGTTTTAACACTGCAGTATTCACGTAAGCGTCAGAATAAATTTACACGATTTTTGATGATAATAGTCATAGTTTAAGTCCCGAAGGAGAACATTCCTTTGTTAGTTTAAACCAAACAGTTTTACTTTCATTTTCTAAGGCTAATGAAGGTAAACCTGCTCTTACGTTCCCAAATGGCTCTTTTTTTTAGTATCAATCTGTTTTAGTCCAGTTTATCAATTGTAAATGGGTTGTTTGTTGGGAAGTAAGTTTTTATTGAGTGTTTACATAAAAGCCTTATTTTTTGTTAATTACAAAAATATATAATAAATGTAGCTACAGTTATTTAACAATATTAAAACTTTAATAGAACAACTGAACAACACAGAAAAGCAAGCGAATTAAATAAAAGTCATAAAATACTAGTTTTATCAGCATTGTGCTCCTGTTCAAAAAAGATCCGACCCTACCTGCAGCTAAAGATTCAGCTCTAGCTGACAGGAGTCGACTCTCGTTCGTCACAAACGGTGGGGGTTGTTGCCATAGATACAGGGCCGGCCCGCATAGGTAGTATAGGCAAATGCTTGGTTTTGTTTTCGGTATTCCTGACACATTCAGTGATAGACGGCAAAAACTCAAAAATCCTCTTACCCTATAAAGATCTAAAGTTTGTTTCCTACAAAAAGACAAAGCTTGTTAGCTCCACAGCTGTCTTTTTATTTTATTTTTCGCTCGACATTACGACCACTGTTCTGCTTAAACCCTCGCAATATGCGTGAGGGAGCTCTCGTTTTTTTTTTTTTTTGCTCCGACCTGCGTGTTTTATTTTAAACAACTCATTTTCTCTTTTAAATGAGTACAAACAGTTACTAAAGTAGTCGAATGCTTCAGATCTGTGCATTACATGAACACTTCAAAGGAGTGCTACCCTGTACTAAAATGGCGGCTCTATTCCTTCCAATAAACAACAACAGGGTAGGCGACATCTAATCAGGGCTGGACTGGGGCAAAAAATCGGCCCTGGCATTTTAGGCCAGAGCGGCCCACTAAATTAAATCAAAATGCTATCTATCTATGCACATCCAATATTTTTATCAACTCATATTCTATAAAACACAAAAGCCATATATTTGAAATAAATAAATGAATAAATACAAACTTTAATCTCAATTTAATTTCTGTATATACTGTCCATAAAGATATTTGTTGAGTTCTAAAAAATACACTATTCATTCATTTATTTTTATTCGCATAAGTCCCTTATTTATCAGGGGTTGCCACAGTGGAATGAACTGCCAATTATTCCAGCATGTTTTATGCAGCAGATGCCTTTCCAGCCACAACCCAATATTGGAAATCACGGTAACGCTTTCTTTTACAACCCGCAAAGTACCGCGTAAGTACAGTGAAATTACAGTGTACTTTTCTGTACGTACTGTGTAAGTATAATGAACGTATGTGTAGGTATGAGGGAACAAACCGTAATGCTTGGGTAAAAAGGGGGTAACAACCAGATGTTCATCACGAAAATTACCGCGTAAGTACAGTGAAATAACGGTGTACTTTTCTGTACCTATAGTGTAAGTATAAATAACGTTTAAGAAAGTATAAGGGAACAAACTGTAATGCTCGGGTAATAAGGGGGTAGCAACCAGATATTCAGCATCCGCGTAAGTACAGTGAAATAAGGTTGTACTTTTCTTTAAATTGCAAAAGAACAAACCATAATGTTTGCGTAAAAGGGGAGTAACAATAAGATATCCATCACGCAAAGAAGTATATTAAGTTTACGATGTACATTTCTTCAAGTATTGTATACATATAAAGAATTATGCAAGGATGGTGACAACCTATTGCTATCTGCAAATGTACTGTATATGCACCTGCGTGAATACATTAGTACTCTTATTCAGTGCTTGGGTTTTATATGGGGTGTTTAATGAATAAAAGGTTTACAACCTGTGAAATTATGAACCCTTATTGTATAATGTATGTATTTTAAATCTGCAATTCAATATAAAATATATTTCCATACACTACTTACCTTATGTTTACTCGTCGATCTCACCAAAGCCATCAATGTCTCCATAACTCACTATCAACAAATAACTTTGCATGACATAGGCCTACCGTCAGGGTTCAATGCAGATTAAAACAGGCTCGCATCTTTACTGCTGTTGCACAGGGGGGCTAACTGTTGCATTTCAGTAAATGTATAGCTGATGCTTTATAGAAAAATCTAGTAATTTGGTCTTCAATCAATAAAAACTGCTGCTGTAGTTTACTCTGTTCTTAGTGTTCAAGTATACACTAGTATGTTAAAGTTCAGCTTCTTCCCTCTTTGTTCCCTGTAGTTAAAGGGTAAATACAGTATTTGTTCCCTCCTTGTTCCCTGTACTTACAGGGTAAATACCACATTTGAGGGTTGTAAATTAAAGTGAAGCTTTGTTCCTCTCTTGTTACCTCCTTGTTCCCTGTACTTACAGGGTAAATACCACATTTGAGGGTTGTAAATTAAAGTGAAGCTTTGTTCCTCTCTTGTTACCTCCTTGTTACCTGTACTTACAGGGTAAATACCACATTTGAGGGTTGTAAATTAAAGTGAAGCTTTGTTCCTCTCTTGTTACCTCCTTGTTACCTGTACTTACAGGGTAAATACCACATTTGAGGGTTGTAAATTAAAGTGAAGCTTTGTTCCTCTCTTGTTACCTCCTTGTTACCTGTACTTACAGGGTAAATACCACATTTGAGGGTTGTAAATTAAAGTGAAGCTTTGTTCCTCTCTTGTTACCAGTAGTTAAAGGGTAAATACAACATTTGTTCCCCCTTGTTCCCTTTAGTTTACAATGTAAAATCTTGAAGGCAGTGAAATAAATATACAAACACACAATATATTTCTTCTTTACTTTGTAACCTTTATTTTAATAAATAAGCATTTTAAAAGACTTCATATTAATCAAACATTGTCTTGTCTATCATTGCCTATACTCATTAATTTTCTCTTGGGCTTTGTCCTTTTGTTAATCTGGGGTTGCCACAGTGGAATAAACCACCATCTTATCCAGCATATGTTTTACGCAGTGGATGCCCTTCCAGCTGCAACCCATCTCTGGGAAACATCCATACACACCCACTCACACGCATTCACTACGGACAATTTAGTCTACCCAATTCACCTGTACCGCATGTCTTTGGACTGTGAGGGAAACCGGAGCACCCGGAGGAAACCCACGCGAACGCAGGGAGAACTCCATGCAGAAACCTTCTTGATGTGAGGAAACAGCACTACCTACTGTGCCACCGTGTAGCCACCCAGCTGCAACCCATCACTGGGAAACATCCATACATACTCATTCACACACATACACTACGGACAATTTTACCTTACCCAATGTCACCACATATTTTTGGACTTGTGGGAGCACCCGGAGGAAACCCACGCTAACATGGGGAGAACATGCAAACTCCACACAGAAATGCCAACTGACCCAG